CTAAACCCTAAACCCTATCAAACCCAAACCCTTTCGACCGAAGCACTGACCGTGGTAGTAGCCATCACCCAGCGCAATGGTCAAGCGCGGGTGCAACCCTTTGGCTACTGGGCAGCCGCCGCAGCCAAAAAAGCTGGCTAATGTGTTGTCAGATTTATAGAGAATCCTAAACCATGTTATATGGTTTAGGGCTCCCTACACCCTAAAGGGGGATATGGGGTTCTATAGAGGTATACATGGTTTAGGCAACCAGGCGGTGATTTCCTAAAGGCTGTGTGTGTGGGCGCTTTTTTTTTGGGGGGGTGGGGTCCCATACCATAATACGGATGCTAACATTTTGGGGTCCGTTACTCAGGGAAATCTTCCATTCATAGGGCATTATAGGGTTGAAGGTCGCGGAATGTTCCTGCGTCAACTTGTATCCTTAGCGTTGTGTACCCCTGGGTTTGGACCCTGAAGCCATGGAAATCGACCGCAATAAAGGTATGCGGGACCCAAAACCCAAGGTTACATATCTCAGGGCTGCAAACTTAAAATCTTTCATGCCATGACAAACCCTATAGGTGTTATATGAGCTATAGTCTAAACTCCTTAAGGGGGGGTTATATAGGGGATTATTTAGGGGACCATTATAGGGGGTATTCAGGGGGATACTAGGAATTTAGACTATAGCTCACATGGGGCTATATAACATAGGGTTGAGGATTCAGGATGCCAGGTCTTTTGGTTCCGAGCTCGGTCCTTAAACCCTAAGCCCGGCGTTTAGGATCCTGAATGTTAAGGCACAATGTTTAGGGTCTTAGAGTTTCAGGGCTTAGGCCTCAAGCCTAAACCCTAAACCGCGTGGGGTTTGGGGGTTCCACGGAATGCAAGCAGACCCTTCATCAGGATTAGAGATAGTTGTGCCAGGATTGTCGGGATTTTGTTGGCTTTAGGGCTTAGGGTTTGGGGTTTCAATGGCTTTGGGTTTAGACTGCTTAGACTTCTGTATATACTGCCCAGAAAAAATGGTCGTCCTGATTGAGCTGCAAAAGAGACCCACTTTTTTGAGAGACGCCCCGCGCGTCTAAGTCCTGTTCAGCGCTTACACTGACTCCACATCGGAGCACGATTGAAAACAAGCTTCTACTGTACTATACCCTGAGTTTTAACAAGACTCTTAAACCCTAAACCCTGCTGACTTCTAGCATGCAAGAAATGGTAGTTTCCCAAAATAAGGGGACCCCAATATAGACCCCAAAATACTATAGTCCTTATTATGGGGACCCCCAAAAAGGGTACCCCTAATTTTAGGAAACCCCCAAATTAAGAATCATTGTGAAAAAGCCCGAAGCCAAACCCCTAAGCCCTAGCATCATTGTCAACAATGACCCAGTAGTTGTTCATGAAACTCTTGGCTCAAAACGTCACGGTTTTGCTGCTAAGGTTTGTAAGGCTTTTTAAAGCGTTTATAAGGGCTGTATGATGTTTACCCCCCCCCCTCCCCCCCGCGGTTTTTGATTATAGTCCCCCTTAAGTAGATAGCATATGGAACATCAGGGGATCTTATCATAATATTGTACAATTCCATATTGTATCTACTTAACGGGGACTATAGGCTTAGGTTGTACAGTTGAGGCCCGAGAAAAGATTCGCATAGATATTTCCTGGCGCAGCCCAAGTGGATAAGCCCCCAATCATGTCGGCACATTACGAATGACTAGGGCGTACAGACATCTTACACGATGCTTTAACGCACTTCAATTTAAGACCTTTGATAACTTGCATCATGTGCCCGGCCTGTCTCCAATCGAACCCTATTTGCTGAAAGCATGCCGGGTCGTCCCCGTGCTGAGAGGCGTTTAGGGTTTAGGGGAGCAACTGCTCTCGAAGCCCGATCTTTTCGCTGTTCTTCGTCATGTTGCTTCACTTCGGATACCCAAAGGGTCCATGCAGCTATATCGCATATACTTTGGCCGTAAAGTAGCTATACAGATCCTAAGTATATACCGTATACCTGCCCTAAACCTTAAACCTTACATGCCCTATACTCTAACATACCAATATAAACCAAAAAATGCTTATATAACTATGCTCTAACATGTCAAATAAGAACAAAAAATCATATAATATTCTATAACACCCTATAATATAATACTATATACCTACGTGGACCCTTTGGGATACGGGCTGCGCACGAATGAATGCAGCTTGACCTGTCTTTGACAGGATGCTGCATATGATAATCGCTTGCTGCTTACTGGAGGTTACTTGGAAATGAGGGAACATAGGGTTAAGGGTTAGTAGGGAATAAGGGAATATAGGCGCCTATTAGGGAGTATAGGGATACATATAGGAGTTATATAGGTATGATGGAAAATGGAAACTCCTATTTAGGGTTTAGAGTTTCGGGTTTAGGCATTATATTCGCATTATATTGCCTGATTCCGCACTAAGCACTAGGAAGGCTGCCGTTCTCCTGCAACACCCATTTGAGCTGTAGTCTAAACTCCTAGCATCCCCCTTTAAAACCCCTATAGTAGTCCCCTATATACCCCCCTTTAAGGAGTTTAGACCCCAAACCCTAAACCCTAAATCCTAACCCTAAACCCTATATAATCCCCTATGTAACCCTATATATTCCCCTGTATAAC